CTCCATTCACACACAGAAGAAGGGAATGGCAAACCACTTCTGGATCATCTGCCAAGAACGTATATGAACAGGTCCCAGTCCGAGAAAAGGATGGAAGGATCCTGTTCATATGGACCTGTCGTCAGACAGAACACTAAATAATAATATATTATCAGACACAATGTAGGAGCTTGTGCGTAAGCGAACTATTTTGTACGTAACATGTAAAGCTTTAAATCATGATTATAAAATAATTAGATTGGAATCGGCGTATAAGACCGCGACATTTATTCTAACATCATTTATTTATTTATTTATGCAAATTATAACAATGTTCACAAATACAAAAACACATGAACAATTAGCTAACTCGTAAAAACAGGGAACCAGTTTTGTTACAGCAATTATTGACCATCGCGAAATAAAGGAACGATGACGGGTAAGGTTTCAACAAGGAACTACATTGCGCAGACGGCTATGCGCAGTGGTGAGATTCAATGGGGTTTGTTATCAGTAAGTTGTGTTATGGCCGTGAGATAAGGCTAATCAGGATTTCCCCGTGATACGAAACTGCAGTGGATGGGCTCGAACTTCGATCACGGCAAGTAGAAAAGCTGAAATCAGAAATTAATTAATATTTATAAATGAAACTGTACGTTCTAAAATAATCTAGTACGAAATTAATCTTTCGCTCTTACCTCAGGATCGACTTCATAGGCGCATTTTGTGAGTGCAAGAGCGACGTCACATTCGTCTTCGATTCCTGCGGAGAGAATGCAATTTGTTTATTTATTTATTTTACGTCCAGTCCAAAATATTTTGTCTTCCCGTCTGATTTCTAAGAACCTGAAAATTAAAGTATACAAAACAATAATCTTGCCTGTTGTCTTGTATGGGTGCGAAACATGGTCTCTCACTCAGAGGGAGGAACACGGATTGCAGGTGTTTGAGAATCGGGTGTTGTGGAGGATATTTGGGCCTAGGAGAGAAGACGATGGGGCACGGAGAAAACTTAAAAATCTGTACTCCTCACCCAGTATTGTCAGGGTGATTAAGTCGAGAAGAATGAGATGGACTGGGCATGTAGCGCGCATGCATGAGACAAGAGGTGTGCACCGGATATTGGTTGGGAAACCTGAAGGGAAGAGACCGCTGGGGAGACCTAGACGTAGATGGGAGGATAATCTCAGGCGGGATCTATGGGAGATAGGAGTTGAAGGAGACTGGATTTTGTTGGCCCAGGACAGGGTCCGGTGGAGGGCTTTGGTTAATTCGATTATGAACCTTCGAGTTCCGTAAGCCATCTGGTTGGTTGGGTCCACTATTTGAGAAGCCTGAGGGGAAGAGACCTCTGAACCTTCGGGTTCCATAAACCATCTGGTTGGTTGGGTCCACTATTTGGGAAGCCTGAGGGGAAGAGACCTCTGGAGAGACCTAGACGTAGATGGGAGGATAATCTCAGGCGGGATCTGTGGGAGACAGGAGTTGAAGGAGACTGGATTTTGTTGGCCCAGGACAGGGTCTGGTGGAGGGCTTTGGTTAATTCGGTGATGAACCTTAGGGTTCCGTAAGCCATCTAGTTAGTTAGTTATTTATTTACGTCTGTGAAGACGAGTAACCTGTAACGTAACGAGAGTGCGAAATGGACATGGCGCTGAGTGTTCAAATTTACATTTCGGCTGCTGTAATTTACCAAGTTTTGTTGCTATGGAAACTCTCGGTTTGCTCCATTCAGAGGGGGTCAGACGGCACGAAGCTATTTATAGAACTGGACGGGAAATTAGCTTATGTTTACATTACATTCAATTTAGAGTCAGGGAGCGTAGTTTTAAATTGAAATCTAGACACGCTATCAAAAACAGATTGCAATGACATCTGATATTCTTTGCTCTGTAACCATGGAAACCCTCATAAAACGTCTATACACGCGTGAATCTATCGCAAGTTCGTGCTGGAAATATTCTCACGTGTTTCAATAGTTTCATTTATTTATTTTTTGGTAGTTGGTAAGAAAATCTGAAATCAAGTTTTGTTTTGGCTCGTATATCCTTCTTACAGAACATTAAATTAATATGGAAGTACAAAAAAAAAATACACCACCTCAAAATTAAGGCATTTAACTGGAAAATAAATGCAATTCAATTCACTCTGCTCCTCCCGCTTTAACCTAGTTTTTACATTTTCTTCTCTGAATTAACAAATCCCACAGTTTTCAGTGCATTAGCAACAGAGGTTTTCCTGTTGTCTGTGACCTCTGGTGGATCTCAATTGCCCCCGCCGACCGAACAAACAGCTTCTTAATTACTGCGTACACCTCGTAAAGGCACGTATTTAAATAATAGAGACTGTAAAAGTCTAAGACACGTTGCGTTATAAAAATTCTAACTAAAATATAGGTCTTTGTGGGATTTTTGAGATAATTATCTTCTGAATTGCCAACCGGAATTGTAATATTGTTTGGACAGCTTTTACTGACAGACCCCGGCCATATGTTCCACATTTAAACAGAATAATTGTGTGCAAAATACATTTTTTTCTCATGTGATTTATCAATTTAAAATCTTACCCTACTCTCACACTGGCAGGTGTAGAGACTAAAATTTCATTTGGGATACGGAGTCCAGTCCTGACTTACCGTCACCTGCGTTCCGACACTTTTGAGCTACATTCTTAACCTTGCCGCTAATTTCAGGGGACAGCAAATCTTCGGCCATTTGGATCGTCAGATCGGCTTGGTACTTGCCGTCTTTCAGCTGCAACAAAAATTGAGTGCTTCTTACACACAATAAGAAGTCGATATATGAGCCCCTTTCGCGTAACCTGTCTCGATAAGATACAGTCGGAACACGTTTTTGAAAAATGAAAACTTCTAATTTTTCGCTTTAATAGCACAAAAACATTTGCTATTCCTTTAGAATAAGAGTGATATAAGAGTGTGACTTTCCAATGCTGTTTCTATTACGAATTAAATTCAATATCCCTAAGACACTTCAGTCTTAAGTAATTAATTAATTATTAATTAGTGTTCTGTCTGACGACAGGTCCATATGAACAGGATCCTTCCATCCTTTTCTCGGACTGGGACCTGTTCATATACGTTCTTGGCAGATGATCCAGAAGTGGTTTGCCATTGCCTTCTTCTGTGTGTGAATGGAGTAATTGTTGGGATGCCCCGGAGGAAAACTCCGTGTTGCCTAGACCACGGCCTTGCCCAACACAAGTTATAAATTCGGGCACCGCCGGGAATCGAACCCGAGACCCCAGGATTACAAGGCCAGCATTCTAACCGCTAGACCACCGTGGAGTCTTAAGTACCTTAGTATTAATAAAGGCGCCTTACCGAGTGCGACAGTCCCATCATGCAAGCCAGGTAACACTGGAAAAACAAAACAGATGCATTACGTTTTATAGTGTATTTGGTCAGCTCTGCCATTCTGAATACAAAGCTTAAGTGCAGAGCATAAGTCATGACAAAGCACACACTTACAAGACTGAGAATGATTTCTTAAAACATACATCCTTTGTCCTCAGTCGTCACAACTACGTTCCTTTTCAAATGTGGGTACATGATCCATCACGATCGTGTGATCTTAGGCGCATTTCTTATATCCCGTATTCTGGCTACATGTTTAGCCAATCCTGACGCCTAAATTTCCCTGCCCTAATACTCCAAAGAAATATATATATATAAGATAGTGTAATTGCGTCATATTGTGAATATTATAACAATTATTTATTTTAATCCGTCTTATCACAATATTTTAAAATTTCTTATAATTAAGATAATAAAATATCATTGATGTTCCATATCGATTGATCGATTTACATTTCGGAACATTTACACAACATGTTTCGGTTTTTATAAAACCATCATCAGGTGTAAAGTATATCTAAGAACTTAAAACTTAATTATGATTACTTCTGGACATGTCGGAACACTCACTTTGGCCGATATGTACATCTAATAACATTTAAGAAAAACAACACCTTCGCCCAAAAATGGAAAAACAAACGTAATGAAACATCACCAAAAAACTACCAAAAAAACTACAAAAAACTACAGAAATCATAATTAAGTTTTAAGTTCTTAGATATACTTTACACCTGATGATGGTTTTATAAAAACCGAAACATGTTGTGTAAATGTTCCGAAATGTAAATCGATCAATCGATATGGAACATCAATGATATTTTATTATCTTAATTATAAGAAATTTTAAATATTGTGATCAGACGGATTAAAATAAATAATTGTTAAAATATATATATTTCTATTAGGTGACCTGAAGACCTTATACTGCCATGTAATCTCTTGAATTCCAAATTGATCATCAACTCGTCTCGTGCACTGTCCCTATCCGTGGCGAATTCAATGGTGATGCTGATGATATATTGTTATTACCTTCAATGTCCTGTCATCGCTGAATCGGCCTTCGGAAGCTGCCTCAATGGTCTCTGAAACAAAGGGACCCTCGGCTACATTATGTCACAGTAATGCTTGCACGCAGTTTAGAATGATCAATGTCTCTACAGACTGACTCTTGACCTCTGAGGTCTGTGTTTGCCTTCACTGATTCATCTTCGTTACTTGGTGTGGAGGCCTTAAATCGATACAAATTACTTTTCTCTAAAGCCTCATTTATTGATCACAGAATCCGCGGCCTCAAATGTAATACGGAGATGGTCAGGAATAGATCTGAAAGACGGTGGCAGGCCGTCCCTGTCAGGAAACTATCGCAGCGTTCGCCTGGGAAGGCTGAACATTTTCACGATGGAAATGACGTCGGAACTGTTAAGTGGCTTTACGAATTCACTGGCGCGTGATTTGGAACGAAGCTTTGCCGGCTGTAATGACGACTCGACTATAAAGTAAGAATGGGATGTGGGAAAAGTTCATAATCACTGGCTTCGTGTGTGTCTTCTAAGTGAACAAACAAAAGATGAGATCGGCGGAGCGTGTAGATTGCACGGTGTATGCTGGACAGAGTTAGGTGTAAAGTTACTTCCGCGCATCGTACCATGAACTTTGCAATCTCGAAAGGGAAATTCCGATTTCTGGGTCTATAAACTACAAATATCGCATTTGCAACCCGTTTGAACATGTCTGAAGCCTCTTTTATAATCTTATCACAGAAACAAATGCATATGGAACTGCGTTAACCTCTCATCATGACTGTTCGACTTACCTTCCGTCGGATCAACATATTCCCAGTTTCCGGGTGCCCTTCTATACCACGAGTCTTGCCGCATTTGACTATTGTCCTGTCTCGATATCTCGGGAAAGTTTCCTTCCAGAGAATTCTCCCTTATATTCTTTTATTTTATTTAGGTTTCCCCCGTTCTTATTATGCACCATTTTTTCCCACACCCTGTACACAAAATCAGCCTGTTCCGTTCGGTATTGATTAAGAAATATTCAACAGACGCCCGGGAATCTAAATGTAGAAACAATTACTTTAGGAAGTTTTTGTGTGTGTGAATCGGTTAACTCGCCTCTGTTAAGTCCCTGCGTTTCTGACCGGAACTCCGGGGACCTCGCCCTCCGGGTTTCTGTACTTACCGTCCGATACTCCAACACGCGGCTGGCAGTGGCTTCTTAAAATCTTCCCCGTTGACATTATTTCCTCCATTGTCAGCCCCTGGAAATTTTGTTATTCAATTAAAATTGTCTTTAATGTAGATCTACTACCCTGTTGGATTTAAGGTTTATATATTCACCGCAGGACACTTGTAAATACTTTTATCAGAAACAATCTTAACTTTATTGTTCTCTCCGTGTGTCTGCAACGTTTAACCTTTTAAAAGAACTGATACATTTTTTCTAAAACGTACATACGTACTACTGAAATCTGCCTCAAGTTTAAATCTTTTTTTTTTCTTAGATAATTTTCTGCTGCTGAATTTAGTGGTGAAGTTAAAATAGCCTTGTCACGACTGGGGTAAGACCAAGGTTGGTAGGATTTGAGGTTAGGTTTTCACGGCGGTGGGTACAAATATTGCTGTCTTTCGGGTTGTAGGACCTCTGAGACGTTTGTCAAATTCTACCAGGCAACACGGCCATCTTAAACCAACTTAGTTCACATAAAAGCAGTTAATATAAGGACAGGCAGGGCTGGGCTTAGAGGACTGATCACGTGGTTGTTGCAAAAAAAAAAAAGAACAATTGTACGTTGAACCATAACGAAGTTTCTGCAATGTTATGTAAATCTTTTTTATAAAGTTTAAAATTGTGCGCTATAGAGTCAACATTTTACTATCATTCCAGATGATACAAATAAGACATGAACTGTATTTTTAGGCGTGTCACATTTAGTCTGAATTGTGTTCGAAAATTACATATTTAAACGTAAACTTAACGGCGATCCTGAGATTTGAAATTATATTTGATAATTTTAACTTTGTCACAGTTTGCTTTGGTAGAAATTATTTTCAGAATTGGATCCCCGGATTGTTTCAAGAAGTCACAGAAATTGTTTCCTTACTAAAAACATAAAAATACGTGTGGGAAAATAACTGTTATAAGTTACGCTCGCTACTTTGGTGTTTCTGAAATTTCGGGGTGGGGATTTATGTGGTGTAGTTCACAAATCGCGTCAGCACTGCTACGTTCTTTACGTGCTACGTTGTAGCTTTCCTAAATATAATACCACAGTTTTATCCAGTTACTCCCATTTGAATTACTTACAGCTGATGCACTCCGCAACACAATTGCGAAAATAAACAGTGCGATGGTGTTCTTCACCAGTTGATTCATGGTGCTTATATTTATAACCAGACACAAAGAAAACAAGAAGTTAGTAATCGAGTTTGTTTGTCAGCACTCTTATAAGACTGATTCCAACTGTCAGGAATCCGCGTGCTCTTAGTAGACCTCTCCAGTTTCAAGGTCATGAAATTGCTATCCTCGTAGGTCAGATCGCTACCTGCAATTTTCCAGAGGCATTTGTTACAAATTCATCCAAGCAGAACGCAGATGACGTCAGGTTTCCAGTTGTTGATTTTGTACTTTGAGGGGGGGAAAAAAATGTTTGTGCGCATTTGTTTTTATTCTCAAAACACAGAAATTGAGCCAATTATAATCAGCATTAAGGCAGATCTATAATCAGCCAGTTCTGTAAATATCCTCTGAAGAATGAAGCTTTCGCGTCTGTTTGTCGTATGACCCTGCAATCTGCCCATAATTTGAACAACCTTTTACGTCGTAATGGCGGGTTTCAAGGTCATACTCTTTACAAGCTGCTGTATTACATGCATTAGACGTGGAAACAAATATGGGTATTAACTTTGTTGTCGTGAAAATTACGCATTAGACGTGGAAATAAATATTGGTATTAACTTTGTTGTCGTGAAAATTACGGAGACATGCCCCCTGATACGGGGGTGTAGAATCGCGATTCACGAGGCAAACCATCATCAAAAACACCAAATACGCTGCATCATTCTTCCGATGAAATAATGAAGTCTTCCTTTTCATAGAATATGAAGCGGGCTGGATGACTGGGGTTCGATCCCCGACGGGGGGAGAGGTTTTTTCTCTAGCCTCTGCGTCCAGCCTCCTATCCAATGGGTACCGGGGTCCTTTCCCGCGGCGTGATGCTGACCACTCACCCCCATCTAGTGCCGAGATCAAGAATGAGTAGGAGTCTTTCCGGCTCTCCCCCCAAGCGACGTACGTGGCGTATAGTGGGACAGTTTTACTTTACTTTTATGAGGCCTCGACAATTAGGATACATCGTTAAAAGTGACTGGAGTGAACATAGACACGGTGAAGTTGGCAATAAAGTGACTAGGTTCCTCCTGGTTTGCTGATTGAAAGCTGGTTCTCGTAAGTGGGGTTCGGAATTTCGCTCGTCCATTCTGACGACCGCCGAGTCACTTCTCCGCTCGTCACTCCTGAAATTCTGTTCGCCCTGTTCAAATAACCAACGCACCCTCAAGGCACCCTTCACCTATTTCACAGGGGATAATATTAAAATGGGTTTTACTAAAATAGGCTTGGAGGGTAATCTGCATCAGTTTACGGACCAGTGTTCAGCTTTTGTGAAAACGGTAACGAACTTATAAAATGCGGAGAATTTCTTACTCTATGAGAGTTCAGTTAGTTTGATGAAGTCCCTGTTCTGTCGAGTTATTTCGTTAGTTAGCCCGCAAATGGAGAGCCTGCACATATGCAATTGGTCTGATTAAATTTCCTTTTCACGGGATAAAGTGCCCGGATGAAAGATTACGACGTTTCGGAAGATACCTCTCTCTCTGCGTTGCCACTTAAAAGGTATGAGTATCTACTGGTTGTTTCATGTGCTGATTCTAGATGGCAGTTTTATCTCTAAACCATGAAAATGACAACTTCAATGTGAAGTTTGTCTTCTCGGACATTCCGCCTTGCAGCGTGGTATAAATTGACCGACGTTACAGAGGCGCTTACTGCTTCCATCATCAGGGTGATTCTGTTACCTTTTATACATGCCGGTGTTTACAGATTCCATGAACGTAACCCTTCATGACGAGCTGATAGCCGATCAGACAGTTAAGAAATTCTCCATCTTTAGGACCCAGAGCCCTTCGTCAGAAGCTTATAGTCGCTTAGCCTGTCAGTTGCTTATAATATGAGAAAGTTCTATCCTGTCCACGCCGTCGTATCCTATTTACTTAAGCTCCGTTTTAATATTATTCTCCTCCCTTCAGAGTCTTCTCATAAAATATTGTACGCATCTCTGATCGCCCCTTTGTATGCTGCATATAATTATTTATTTGTCAGAGGCTGTGTTGATGAAATTAATACGCTGTAGCACAGTTGTTACACTGCCTAGGGCCATAATTTCACTTTTATAGATGGCGTCCATGCGACGTACCAGTTAGAAATTCAAAGAATTACAGTGTACAGATCAAAATAAATTTATTTTTACAATATATATTATTTAAATATTGTCCGTCTAATCACAATAAATTCTTATTAAATATTAAAATATTACAATAATTAACATTTAAAATATTAAATGATGTTCTTTATCGAAATATTCGATTTACATTAGAC